CATGCTCTCACTTAAGGTCAATGGCAAGAATATAACAGGGCTCCTAGACACAGGAGCTGACCGTTCCATTATCTCTAGAAAGGATTGGCCCTCCAACTGGCCCACCAACACTGCAGATAACACGCTGCAGGGCCTGGGGATGGTGTCAGCTCCTCAGGTTAGTGCTTCAACCCTGCTCTGGTGCGATGAGGAGGGTCATCAGGGCCATTTCCAACTATTTGTGTTGCAGTTGCCAGTGTCTCTATGGGGAAGGGACATCCTCACTCAGATGGATGTCACGCTTACGTCAAACTGCTCCCCCCAGGCTAAGGATATACTCAGGAACCAGGGATATACCCCCGGCAAAGGCTTGGGCAATGCCCTACAGGGTCGGACATCCCCAATACCAGTAGAGAACAAAAAAGGTAGGCAAGGGCTGGGTTTTTCTTAGGGGCCGCTGAAGAAGCTCTCCTACCCACTTCGATCAAAATCACCTGGAGGTCAAATGATCCGGTTTGGGTACCTCAGTGGCCCCTGCCTAAGGAGAAGCTATTAGCCTTGTCAGAAATAGACAGTACACAACTTAGATTAGGACACATTAAGCCGTCAACCTCCCCATGGAACACCCCCATTTTTATAATTAAGAAAAAGTCTGGCAAATGGAGGCTGCTCCATGATCTAAGGGCGGTCAACGCGCAGATGCAGTCCCTGGGGGCGGTCCAGAGGGGGCTGCCAGCTCTCTCAGCCATCCCTCAGTCCTGGCCAGTTTATGTTATAGATCTTAGAGACTGTTTCTTCTCAATCCCCCTGCATCCAGAGGACACTCATAGGTTCGCCTTTACTTTACCCACCATTAACCAAGAAAGCCCTGATCTCAGATACGAGTGGATAACGCTGCCCCAAGGTATGGCCAACAGTCCCACTATGTGTCAGATTTACCTTGATTCCCTACTGGCCCCCCTACGGAAATCCTTTCCCAAGATAAGATGTGTGCATTACATGGACAACCTTTTGCTCAGCGGCAGGGACCCAGACATGCTAAATAATATGCTCGGCCAGTTGGTCGAGGCCCTGAGACAAGCTAATCTGCATGTTGCCCCCGACAAGATTCAGGGAGGAGAAATGGTGACCTACTTAGGCGCGAAAATCTCCCCTATGCTAGTCTCTCCACAGAAGGTCACCATTAGGACGGATGGCGTTAGGACCCTAAATGACATGCAAAAACTATTGGGAGACATTAATTGGATTAGGCCATATTTACATATACCAAATTCAGATCTCAAACCCCTGTTCGACCTTCTAAAGGGAGACCCAGATATAGCCTCCCACAGGAGGCTCACTCCTGAGGCAAGAGCTGCCTTACAGAGAGTGGAAAAAGCCTTAGGTGGGGCTACCTTACACAGAATTGAACCAGGGCGACCCTTTGATGTCTGTTTGCTACAGACTAGTCTACAGCCCACAGCGGTGATTTGGCAGAAAGGACCATTACTGTGGATACACCCTAAGGTCTCACCTACAAAAGTCATAGAGCATTACCCGGAGGCAGTCGCTTCATTGGCCCTTGAAGCGCATGATAGAGCTGTCCAACATTTTGGCTCAGGACCACAAGCCATCTGAGTACCCTATACCGCCAGCCAGATCAAGACCCTGGCTGCCTGCATAGATACATGGGCCATTCTGAGATGTGTTTTCCATGGGGATATAAACAATCAATACCCTAAAGACCCTATCTTGTCATTTGTCACTCAGCACTCTATAATTTTTTCAAAGGTTACTGCCTCTGAGCCATTAGTCCCAGCAACTACAATATACACAGATGGCTCCAAGACGGGGATAGGCGCCTATGTGATCCTAGGCAAGCCCCCGGTTACCATACAATTTGAACCTGATCAGCCTCAGGTGGTGGAACTGCAGATCGTTAAAATGATTCTTGAACGGTTCTCAGAAGCCATTAATATTGTCTCCGATTCTAGGTATGTGGTCAATGCTATGCAAGTGCTTGAGACTGCCGGTTTAATTAGATCCACTTCCACAGTGGCTGGGCTGTTCCTGTCTATCCAGACATTGCTTCAGAACAGACACCATAAGGTCTTCACCACCCACATAAGAGCACATACATCCCTGCCGGGGCCCATGGCACAGGGGAATGCGGCTGCTGATACTGCCACTCGCCCGTTATGGATTTTTACCTTACTAACACCAATCGAGCGAGCCCGTGCCTTCCATGATAAGTTTCATGTCAATGCCAGGACACTAGCAAACCATTTCCATGTTTCCAGAGCAGATGCACGAGATATCGTGCGACTATGTGACTCCTGTGCCACATACAAACCTGCCATACCGATGGGAGTAAACCCTCGAGGTTTGATCCCTGGTGATGTTTGGCAGATGGACATCATACATATACAGGAGTTTGGGACTCTTAAATATGTTCATGTTTCCACAGACACCTGTTCTCACGTCATATTTGCAACAGCAGAAACAGGTGAAAAAGTGTCTAATGTGATCAATCATTGCCTGGCGGCTTGGGCCGCATGGGGCAAACCAAAAATATTAAAAACTGATAATGGACCAGCCTATATAGGCAAAGCCTTCAATGAGTTCTGCAAAATGATGGAGGTTCAATTAAAACATGGTATCCCATACAATCCCCAAGGTCAAGGAATCATTGAGAGGGCTCATAGAAGCCTCAAAGAAATTTTACAAAAACAAAAAGGGGGAGTAGGCCAAGGCCTGGCCCCAAAGGCACGATTATCCATGGCACTATTCACACACAATTTTTTAAATTTAAATAATGATAATTGCTCCCCAGCCGTGGAGCACTGCAACCCTTCCCCCAACCATAAAGGGTGGGTGAAGTGGAAAGATGTCCTGACAGGACAATGGATGGGCCCGGATCCAGTGGTCAGCTGGAACCGAGGCGCGGTTTGTGTTTTCCCACAGGAATCGGGACGAGAACCACTGTGGGTACCGGAGAGACTGACACGGGCGACAAAGCCCTCGACTGAAGATCAGACCTGCCCTACCGGAGATCCATCACAGACCAACCAACAAGATGAATAGAAATAGCGGTAGCCCGAAATGGACAAGAAGATCCTCAGGCATATGCATGGCTCGCTCGCCTAGCCTACGACCGAGTCTAGAGGTGGTGAGCTTCCCACACTCCTCCTCTAAAAAATTATGACATAGCTGGGTAGGAGAGTCAATGACGGGTAAGAGCGTACTCCCCCGGTGCGACTCAACCTAAGCCAGGCCCTACCCCATCCTGCACGTAAGCCGCTGGACTGTTAGATGCTGCCCAGGTCTAAATTTCTCTCCGAGGGGATTTCTTTACGGAGAGGAAATGAGTGCAAGCTTGTGTGCATCCAGGTTCCGTCCAGTTTGTGCCTGGCCCTAGAAAAAGGACAAGGGCCTCAGGGCCTTGGCAGACCATGGGACGGCCGACCAGGGTCTAAGCCAAGGACCTACGGTGGGCCTACACATAGGGCATAAGCCTCTGCACCCAGTCTAGGAAGGGCTACGATGCGCACATTTATAAAAAAAATAAAAAAGGGGGAGATGTTGGGAGCCGCAGCCCCGAGCCCGGTCGCCTTACTTGGCGGACGTGAGGCCTGTAGGAAAGAGTAAAGCCTGAGGTAGATTACCCCTCCCATCGAGCACGTTAGTTTCCTGCTTACCGCGTAAGCAACCCGCTCAACAATATAGTCTGCCTGGCAACTGATGATGTTAGCCAATCAGCTTGCCTTGCTCACTTTAACATGATTGGACACTGTATCCGTATATATACTGGTGCCACCCCTGGGGGGGAAGAAGAAGCCCGGAAGTAGAAGCCCAGAAGGAGCCGCGGGGAGCGGACCAAAGGAGGCTTCGGCTGGGAGCGATCCCAGGGCAGGCTGTACGGAGAAGAAAAATAAAAGAAAAGGTTGTCCACTGCCAGACTTTGTCGTGTGTCCTTCCTGCCGGCCAGGAGCGACATCGACACTGAGGATTCTTAGGAAGCAAATATACTCTATTTTCCAATTTTGACTGTGATTACCCATCTTGCTAAGCTTTCTTTCATATTATCTTAACACTTTGTCCAACTTGCTAAAAAATAGATTGACAGGAAGAGAGAAAACATGCTTTGGACAAAAATTTGAAAATACTTGTTCTAAAACCTTGGAAATGGTGAGACCATAAGGATCACTATAAACAGATGTCTCTGAAAAAGTGTAAGTCACAAAAATTCAATTGTCCTGCTATTATTGGCATACTCCTCTTTGATTGTCAGTCTGTCAGTTATATATAAACTTTTTCTCAAAAGTGCAAATATTTGGGACTGGTGGATGTCTGGATCATCTCTATGCTATGTTTCAACCAAAAACTGTTTTGGATAAAGTTAAGCCAGTGCCTACAGTTTACTACCATGTGAGTTGTTTCTGGCCCTAAAATTTTTTAAATTGTGTGGATTCTTTTGGATTTCAAAATGAAACATAAGTTTACTATTGCCTCATTCTTCTCATTGATTCAACTGCTTTTCAATATGTTTGGAAGAAACATAATTAAATCTGTGCTAATTATACTTTGAGGTAACTGTGAATAAAACAGAATCATAGACAGATATCTGACCCAATAAAACCAGGTGGAGACTTATGTTTTTAACTCTCAAATCCTTGCGAATCATGTCGATAATGTCAAATCATTTGGATTAAACCGAGGGAAACAATGGCCTAAGTTTAGGGCACTTCTTTTCTTTGTAAAGTGTATTTTAAGCTGTTACTATGGACTTGCATGCTATATATTTTAAGTATAAATATAATTATGTACAAACTTTGATTAACATGTTATTCCGTGAATTGATTCTTATTCTTTGCTATATTGCCTTTGAGAGTTACACAATTCAAGGTGATACTGATGGAATAAATGATAACATAATATACACTGGTAACTTTTAGTGGTATTTCTAATTTTTTATTTATTTTTTTTATTTTAAAGAAGATAAAACCAAGGTAAAGAAAACAATAAAACCAATCAAAATAAACCAGGATAAGTGATATAAGACTTCAAAATCTTATAAAATCAAGAATAGTTACCATAACACCTTTTGTTGTCTTCAAAATAGCTGCAGATATCTTCAGACATACTAAAAATTGAACAGAACAGAATAGAATATAAACAACAAAAACAAAACAATGAATGCAATAAACAAGCCAATAGTAAATCCAAAATGGCTACCATAATATGTCTTGCCATCTTTGAGATAGGTACTCCTGTCATCAGATTTAACATACTCAAAACAAAGAGAATAAAACCCAACCTACAAAACAATGAAATGATACGGTTTCCAGGCAGGAACTGCTTCCAGTTGAGTCTTGTTCTCTCCATCTGCAGTCTGTGAATGGCACTGACTCACAGAGAGAGGCTTGGGTGTGGATGTCCCTGTTCCAGCAGTGGCCCGTGCATGGCGCTGGTTTCCAGTGAGGATCACTTCCTGTTGAGGCTGTTCCCCTCCCCCTGCAGTCTGTCAATGGCACTGACTCATAGAGAGCTGTATTTCTAATTTTACTATCAGTCTTGGGGTTCATCTTGCTGCTTGGTACCAAGCAGACAAAGACTTTCCTGGTAACCAAATACTCAATACTCAAACATAGATGCGACATGGCTGCACACCTCCAAGAAATTGACTTCGTGTACCTAATAACTTAGGTAAAGATTTCACAGCAGGAGACATTGAATGCTTACCAGTCACTCTATTTCTTTCTTGCTGAAACATTCCCAGTTGTTTGTGCTCCATCACTAACTCAACAGAGAAGAGGAGAACTGCACCAACTTCTGCCTCTCTGAGCATTATGTGGAGATGACCCATTCCTCACGTCATTCCCCTCTATCAGTGACTGGATTGGTACAGTCCTGGGATGAAGAGGCATTTAGAACAATTCAGTCAATGCTGTGAAAAGTTAGATGACCAACTTAGGATTTAAAATTAGCAGAACTTTTTCTTCACTAAGCACTCACTGTGGGAAAGAGGAAGTATTTTATCCACTAATAGCTACATGTCCATCAAGCCCCACCTCTCTAAGACATAAAATTGTAGACTTTCTTTTGTATGCTGGGCCTTTCTAGGACATCCTTCAAGAACTGCATTTTGGTCAGTAGAGAAGGAGTGGTTTTGTTCACCTCAGGGAGACGGATGGAGGAAACTGTGGGAGAAGATGTAGGAACAGACTCTGTAAAGGTAACTAGAAAAACTTAGGAAAAAATTCTTTGAATGATGTAAGTTAGTGAAGGTGATCATTGTTATAGGAAAATACTGTGAATCAATCATTTTATTGAGATTTAAATTTTGTTTCTCTAGATACCAACAAGAAGTAGAATTATTGAGGATGAAGTATTTCATTTCAGATGTTAATTCTCAAAGAAAGACCTTTCTCCCTCCCCTCCTGCCCCCACCTCTTCCTCTGCTTTTTGCATTGTATGCGTCTCACATGCGTCTGTGAGGTTAGTTGGTCTTTGACAAAGTGCCAGTCTGAAAGTGACAGAACAGAAAGGAAGAGCTCCAAGCTGCTACTGATGCCATCGAGTTGATGATTTAATCAACCCAGTGTTGCTTTGCCTCAGTATTCCTTGCTCTATGAGGTAATTAAAGTTCCTGTTGCTTAGGTCACCTTGACTTGAAATTTCTTTTATTTGCATTCATAAGCCATCTTATTCATTGTTAAATATAAATTTCTTTATTATTTAATGGAAATAATGGTACTTAGAATACTACTTGTTCCATAAAAAATATTAAATGAGCAAGACTATACATTTCAGCTGAAGAAATTATTGTCTGAAGGAATAAGCAAAATGACTGGGATTATCATTAAGAAACATTTGTGGTAAAGCAATACTGCTTTTAGATTAGACAATTATTTTCAAGAATGTGTGGTTGTTATGGTTGATATGCTGTGTCAACTTGAGAAATTCAGCAAATTAGGAGACTAGGCAGGAAGTCAAGGTTCTTATTTTGTAAATATCCTCGGCCTGTGTAAAGCAGGGCAAGGAGATTTTGTGACTACTACATCTGCCCTCAGGGTGCAGGGTGATCTTCATACACTATAAGGGAGGAGAAGAGGCTTGTTTTCCCCTTTTTTGCTCTGGCTTCTGACTTGTAATGTTTCCCCAGTGCCATGGCACCCTCGCTTAGAGCCAGCTGATTATAGACTGAAACCTCCAAAGACTGTAAGCTAAATAAACTCTTCCTTGCTTCACTTTTGGCATCAGGTATTTTGTCTCAGCAAGGAGAGAAAAATAATCAAGATAGCGGTTTAGGTTGTTATCATGCATTGATATCTTAGATTCATGAGATTTCCAGAGTCAACTAAACAAACTTGGTAATTTATGCTTAAAATACAACTAAAATGCTTTTTTGGGGGGGGGGGCTTTTCATTTTTAATCAGTACCGGGGATCAAACTCACAACTGCCTGCTTGCAAGGCAGGCGCTTATGCTGCTGAGCTAAATCCCCAGCCCCTAAACTGCTTTCTTCAAGGTATATATTTCCTCATTTTGAGAATCAGAATATTTCACAGAAACATTATTGAACAAGAAGAAACTACTAGTTTCTTTAGTGGGGAATGAATGGTATCCCAAGGCACAGCATCTGTATTCACCAACATTAAATGAGTGTCGTAAAAAGCAGCCTACTTTTCGCACCAGTTTTGTCTCTGGACTTAACCTGTTGAGGAACATGTTTTGTGCGGGAGTCAGTAAATTTGTACACAATGAACAGGGTGGGAAAAACTAGGACGAAATTTGGGAAATCTAGGTTAGATAAAAGGGGAGAGTTGGATTCTAACTGGTTTCAACCTTATTGGAAATGAAATTGGGAGAAGCTGTCAAGGTTCTGGAATTTAACCTTTCTTCAATGCTCTTTATCTCTGTTTTCTCAAACTGAAAATAAGGGTTTTATTTGCTTGTGTTCAAATTCAGTGGTGAAATGGGGGATGCTGAAAACCTGGGATGGAATCTGTAGTCAATTGTGGGAAACCAGAAACTAATGAATAGTAAATCTATGTGCAGCTTGGAAGGAGGAATCGAAGAAGAATAGAAACAAAAGGGGTTCCCCAAGTGGTTTTCCGCAGAACAGTCTGTGTAGTTTGTGAAGGGAAGGCCCTAGTGAGTTAAGTCACAGAGGTCATCAAAACAGGACAGCAGATATCTGGGAACATAGCAGAGCCTTGGACCGTGTCTTATAGTGTTGCTGGAAGTTGCTACGAGCACTTAAAAGGCTTTTATTGGAAAGGAAAAGGTCAGCTGTTACAGAGTCCACCAGATGGAAGACTATCTGGATAGTGGAGGGGACTTTGGGATCTTAAAGGTCATCCTGGCTACCTGCCTTTGTGCTCATTTCTATCACAGCATTGGCCACTCATTCCTTGAGGCTGATAGACCCTCCCATCGCTATTGAGTGTACTGTTTAGCTCAAGACCCTTCAACATTTTAGAGATTTAAAAAAGTATCTTTTCTTCATTCTTTTACTCTAAGCAATAACCTTCACTGTAAATTAAACAAAGTTTTAAAGAAGCTTCTCATTACCCAGCTGCAATCTTAACTGGGTAAATGAAGGCCACACTCTATTTTGAACATCAAAAAGCAAGAAGCACTGGGGATCAGCTGAAGCTATAGAGGAGATCTAAGAGACTGGTTCTGAGGGAAGCGAACATTTTGGACTGCTTCCTGAATATTTTGGCTTCCTTCACACCAAAGCTCTGCCATAGCCAAGGCGCAGAGAGTATGCAGCTCATTTGCCGCTGAGCCCTTTAACATGTAGGATTTGGTAGCATGCCCTTAGTTGAAGGGATCAGTTCTGTTAGCCAACTGAGTTAAACTAGAGACAGCTCAATTTCATATTGTTCCAGGAGCAAAGATGGTTAGAGTCAGATGTATGTATTTTTTAGTTTTATTGAAGGGAGCATATTCTAGAATTTTGTGGTTAAAAGTTCCCTGCTGTCATCTTTCCAAAGTCTTAAGATCAAATTATATTTCCATTTGTTTTTATGTGAAAGATTGAATAAAAGAGGGAACCTGAAGAAGTTCAGCTGCTGTTGTCTAATCTCTTCTTCATACTTTGGAGAGTATTTTTGTATCAAACAAAATGCCAGGGAACTCAGTAACATCTACCATGCACATTCAGTTTGTTAGGTATTTCATATACTAGTACTTTATTTAACCATTATAGAAGTCTAGTCAGGTTAATATTACTTCCAATTTATTGAAAGAAAAGTTGGGTATACCTACCCGAAGACAAGGATAGGAAATTAGACAGGGATCACTGAAGGTCTTGAAACCATGTTCTTGATGAAAATAAATGTTTGTGTAGTGGCATTTCACAAGTATTATATCCTTCATCTCCAACAGCCTGATAAAATAGATTTTAATCTCACTACTAATTATCAGTAAGAGTATTTAAGTTTAAAAGGTTCATGAATTTGTCCAATGAGAAGCATTGTGTTAGTAGTAAAAGCGATATTTGACCACAGGCATTTTAACTGCATACTTTCACTTATTAGCATACACAGTCTAATTTGTATATGAGGCTGCCTGCTGGATCTTATTAGTGTAGTGATGTCTGGAGTATTTTTCTAGCAATTGGTATAACTTTCTACAGGCCTTCGTAGAAATAAATTCAAATTTTTTCACAGATAAACTTTTAAAAATCCAAACTAATTATCAAATCATAATTTATAAGCTCAAAGTAATTTCTGATTGCCAGAACCATCATCAGAACCATAGTTTTAGGAGAAATTGTAGCATGGATAAGGTAATTCCAAGCACACAATAGTCCTAATGTCCAGTCATAACTTCAACTCTGCACTAGTATTTTTTTTTTTGAGACAGGGTCTCACTATATAGTTTGAGTTGGCCTCTCCACATTTTGGTACTTTACTATAGGTGACATTATTTATGTATGTGTATTGTATGTATAAGACAAAAATTAAATCAAAACATGTTATGATATCTCATCTTCCAAAGACTCCTCCATTCTAACATTCTGTGAATTTGTATAGCTGATAAGGTTGATCATCTGCCCAGATCCTCTTGGACCTCATTTTTATGTTTTACCATTGGAGCGTTTTTATGGGCTTCTAGAGGCTTTGTATCTGGGTCTGAGGGCTGAAGTGCCAGGTACTTGTATCCCAAGAGTGTTGAACCACCAGTGACTTTCACATGTAAGAGTATGACAGCAGTATACCTCCTGTCTTGTGTGGGAATTCCTTAGTGAAAGAGTTCGCAACTGCAGTTTTAGCAGGATCAGATTGCCACCAGCTCTGGGAGACTCTGGCTGAAGCCATCTCTTACTTGCATTCTTTCCTGTTTCCATCTTGTTTCCGGCTCCTCTCTGGTTTCTCTAGGAGAACATGACATGGAGTCAGTTAAAGTAGATTCATCTTCTCAAGTCTGTGTCTGAGGAGAAAAGCTAACAATGTATCTCCTGGTTCCTATAAGAGGTAATGAGGGAAGGAGAGGAGGAAAGAAGGGAAAGGGAGGAAGCAAAAGAGAAAGAGAGAGGGAGGGAGGAAGAGAAAGAGCAGGCAGAACTAAGGCACACAGCAGTCCTAGAGCCCAGGAGAGAGACAGAGAGAGAGAGAGAGAGAGAGAGAGAGAGAGAGAGAGAGAGAGGCAGAGGCAGAGACAGAGACACAGAGAGAGATTTGTTTGTGCTTCTAGGTCCCACATGGGGTGTCAACATCAGGATGACTCAACATGAGAATTTCAACCATTTCTTTTTCTAGTCTTCTCCTAGTGATATAGGCTCAAAGTAAGTCCACTACCTAAGTAGATATCCAAATGAGAAATAGCATGTAATCTCTATGACACATTCTCTTGAAGTTTCCATGCATAGCCCTCACATCTATAAAAGGAAATAATTTCTGAATTCTAATACAGTGTCTGTTATGAGGCCAAAGCTAAAGATAATAATGACTCCTCCTTTCTCTATGTCTGAGATTTTAAAATAAGTGGATATCTATAGACTGATAGACAAATAGATGATAGATAGATAAATTGAGAGGGTTTTGCTCAGTTATGATAGATACATAAAAGACACCCAGATAGATGACTGGTGAAAGATGATAAATGGACAAATGATCAGATAGGTAAGTGTATTAGCCAGTTAGATAACTACATAATTCTGCTTTTCTCTAACTACATCTTGAAAAAGTGTGTTTGACCCTCATTCTTGGTGGTTCTTTTCAACTAAGGGTGCTGACCACATGTTGTTTGGTCTGTGCTCTGTAAAGCAAGGATCAGCAAAAACTATAACCCATTATACACGTATAATCAGTAGTCTATCTTTATATGGTTTGACAACTAAGGTTGAATTTTTATTTTTAAAAGTTTGTAAAACTCAAAATGGCAACCACAATGGCAAAGTCTAAAATGTTTCCCTGTCGATCATTTACAGAAAAAGTTGATTTTTAAAATGTGAAACCAATATCAAGCTTACAGGAAAAATTTCTCTTAACATTCTTTTTGACATTTACTCAAGTAAGGAGAAGAGATATTGAAGTGGTTTTTCAGCATTCCTCTTTTGTCCATGGAAAACATAAAATTTTAAAAGCATTTTAAAAGCATTTAAATTCCAACTGTGAAATTTGAATGTGATGGTCACAATCAATGTCATCAGAATTGAACTTAGAGAGCTTCAAACTCAGGAAAACTTACATCATATATGTAAAATGTTAAATGATAATGCAGACCAATCTATGAGTAAGTATCTAAAGAAACGCTTAACTGTAATTGCTGTGTGATTAAGATGATTACAAAATCTGTGTAGGTTGAAATAAGTAGGGAAGTATTAGCCTTGATTTGTATGTCAAGACATGTTTAGAGCTGTGTAATTCCCAAAAGACTGAGAAGTCATGATTTTAAGTGCTCAGAATTTCGTGGAACTTGGGAATATCAGATATCCAATGACTTAGGAAAATAGGATACCATTTTTCTAGGAGTCTTAGAATTCTATAAATGATTAGCAGTAACACCAGTTGAATAAGGATTTGCTGTTGCTCGAGGTGTACTTATACAAATAGCACGTAACCTTTAGTGATGTTGCAAAAGCCTAGCCCAAGGATGCAGGCAGTGTTCTGAGGATCATAAAAGATGGTCACAGTCTCCTCAAACTTTTATGGGAGAGTGGTAATCATACTTCCTCATGTTAAACCAAGTGTGTGGTTAGTATAGCTTAGAGATGTGTGTGCTATTATCTTTGGAAGCAAGAGATGAGTCCCACAGAATCAGTCTGTGTGTGCTTGTTGTCAACTATGGTTGCATGTGACTACCTGTGTCAGCAGCTACAGCTCCACCTCTTAACTCTATCTGCATTCATAAATATACCCACATAGATACCCATTTCATATTATGCTGGTGGTTTTTCAGACTTTTAAAAAACTGTTTTAGTTTATAACTACTTAAGATAACTTCAGGGAAATGTTTCTTTCTGCCAAATGTGCATTTTTGAGATTGCGGGGGAGTAGATCATTATAAGCAGAACCAGGGCCTGGAAATATGATCACATCTGTGTTTTATAATGATTTTGAGCCTAGAGTCTAGAAGGGATTTTTGTTTATTCTGCAGAGGTAGTAACGTGCTTATCATAAAACAAAGTAAAAACACAAACAACCAAAATCAACCACTAACAGAAAAGAAAGGAGAAAACACAGGCATGGCTGAATAGACTAGTTTTCTTAATTTCCTTGGCTTTTAAAATCCTTTCCTGAAATTCTGCATTGACCATCATTTTCCTTGGTATACAATTACAAAAAAATGGTTGAATTGATGTGTCTTGCTAAGCCAACTTTATAAAAGCAAAACAAAAAATAAAAATACTTTGATAACATTAATTTGGTGAACTATCTCTTAAAGTACTGGGTGAAAGAGGCATCTAATCTTTGTTGGCTATTCATCAAGTCACAACACTTGGGGAAAAACATCTCTATATGTAAGGCATTCCAGAATATTGACACGATGCCTATGAAACAAAGCTCAGAAATCAGTCTTGCGTAGAAATAGAAAGATAATTGACTTTTTAATTTACAGAAGGTTTTCAATAGAATTTAGTTAATGAAAGTATGTTTTGAAATCTTATAGATCTAAAGGTGAATCTGGTTTGTGCTTTTTCTCTTGAGGATATTCCTTGACTTCACTGATCTTATTTATTCCTTATCCAATTAGGACTCTACGTTAAGATTCATATATACAGTATATTTAAAATTTTTAAATCAGAGTAATTAATAAGAAATAATTACTCTTTATACTTCCACATGTCCCACAAACAGTTCTTAGAATATATCCTAACTCATCAAACTGTAGAATGGACACCACTTAAGAACACATGGATTTCTAAATAACTTATGCAAGCAGTCTTAGTTTAATTGTCTTTTATACTAATGTTGTGAATGCTAGAAACCTGCAAATTATTTAGCTTCAGAGAGTCTTTTCTTTGTTTATAAAAAGGTAAATTTTTACAGTGGATCCAGACTAGTTTGGAAGACAAAGACGATGAGTGTTTTGGTGAACTTCCTTTCCTGTATCTCTTGTGATTGGCGTATCTTAGGAATACTATGTGTGTTCTTACAGAGAAATTCATAGCTCATACTTGCTATGAGTCTTCCCTTATTTATCCAAAACCACATAGTAGCAAAACAAACACAAGCATTAAAATGAATCCTAACTCTTAATAAATATTTTCGGTGAGTGAAAAGGACACACAGAAAACACCATCCTGATGCATTAGTTCTGGTAGCTCCCCAGAGCTGAAGCCACTGTTTTTTAAATGCCTTCCATAAAATTCTCCTCCATAAAATAAGGAAATGTGGAGTAACCTTGACCTTTTTAGGAATATAGGATATTCTGGACATTGAGGTTGCTTTTTTTCCCCCCGCAGTGAATAGAGCTGTTTATGTTCATCAGTAAATGTCCGGCGCCGCGTCTGTCCCGCAGAATGAGGCACACGAACACTTTGTCTCTGCAGGCTCCTTTATTGACTGGGCTACAACCTCAATACACGTCCGTCCTTGACGGCTTCCTACGTGTTGTGCGTCGGGCACTTCCTATTCTTGGGCTTATATAGCTAATGTTATCCAATCATGGGATTATACGTGGGGACAGGGGATTGGGCGGCAACAAGGAAGCAATCAATCATTACCATATATGGCGGGGACAATAAGCCGAGCAAGAACCAGGAAGCAGGATGTGTGCGCCATCTTGGGCACACGATGGGCGGGGGAGCAGCGAGGCGGTAGGCGGATGCCATCCTGTGGCTATATTCTCATGGGTAATACGGCAGGCTCCCAACAAGTAGATTAGAAGGAGAAGGAGAAGATGCAGAGGAGAAGTCTCCAGCTGGCAACCAAAGATGAATTATGCTTGTAGACTTGTTTTGTTGAATCCAAAAAGGGTTAAAATTATATGTTAAGTTAGCTGCCAACTTCATATGCAGATGTGAACTTCCTGCATCTTTTGAGCAATTGGGAGATTTGGCAACACAGTACTTATATTTTTATTTTCCAAATGCACTCTGCACATGACTAGTATTTGTGGTTCAAAGAAAAGACATAAATTTTCCAACTTTTCCTTACCTCTGGCCTGGATCATTTACCTGGCATCTGTAACATCTGAAATTGTAACCCTTTGTGCTAGACATTTTTGTATTTCTATCTTTGTACATTTATGCAAAGCAATACAAATAAGAAACCAGAAAAAAGGACAAAGATTGCTTCTCATTTAGGATAGAAAACTATTAAACGTAACTATTCTCTGAGTAAATGCACCAGACAAAAAGAAACATGCAAAAGGTGATGACAATACAGAGATACGACTAAGGCAGTGACTCAGTCCCATGCCAGAGGAAGTTCATCATTCTACAGAGAGAAAGGGCTGATGGTCAAGCTGTGCTTGTATCTATTGTTGCTTCTGAGTTAATATAAAGACATTTGCTGAAGAACATTCATCACATGTGAAACTTAGCATGCTTCTTATTTCTTTTATTTTATTTATTTTAGTTGACATATAACATTTGCATGTATTTTGAGTCAATGATAAAATTGAGATAATTTATTACCTTGAATTAGAAACCTTCAGAGTTCTTTTTTCTAGTTATATTGAAATATGTCACAAGTTGTTATATTCTTAATTATCTACTATAGACTGCCAGAATGTATTCTTTCTACCTGATTGTTTTAGTATCCATTGTCTAACTTCTCTTCACCTTTATTTCTGTCTCCCCTTTCCAGTCTCCAGTCACCACTATTCCACCCTTTTTTTCTATGATATATACTGTTTCAGATTCCACAATTGAAATTAGATACGAGGTATTTGTCTTTCTGAGTTACATTTATCTCATTTACACCTTCAGTTATACCCTCATGGCCAGGAATGATGAGATTTAATTTTTTAATGGCCAAATAATATTCTAGTATAACATTCTATCTATGTATCTATGTATGTATATCTATCTACCGATCATCTATTTATCTATCATCTATTTATTTAGTTTCTTTGTCCATTTATCAGTTGATAGATACTTACGCTGTATCGATCTCTTAGCTACCATGAATATGGCAATAACGTGGGAGTGGAGGTACCTCTTGAATATAATGATGTCATTTCCCTTGGGTGTATACTTTATAGTGGAATCGATGGATTTTTCTTTTTTCAAAAAGCAGTAGCAAAATTTAATTAAAAAAGTGAAAGTAAAGAGTAGGAAAGAAAATGGCTCTACAA